GGACAAAATTGTCTTTCTTGTAACTTAAGTTTTATGAATAAAAGTCAAGTGGGTCGGCTAGGAGAGTGACTTTTGAACATCCTCTCTTCTAGTCTGGCCGAACACTCTTCTCCTCTCCTTCTATCTCTTCTCTTTCTTCTGTCTTGTTCTCTACTTTGACCTAGAAACAACTAGGGTTTATTCACATGGTATCAGAGCATTAAGGTCTCGTGTTCTTTTTCTTGCTGCTATCTTCTTCCTGGGTTCGCCGCCAGCTTCACAGTAGGTTTCATCATCCTACATCTGATCTGATTGAAGACTCGATAAAGGGCTGAAAAGGAGTTGCCGTTTTGAGGGCCTAGAGATGAAAATGCCTCTGGCCGGTGTTGTGGTGGTCGTTTAAGTGGTATACTAGCCCCTCTATTCAGTGTACGAAGAGGGCTGGGCGTATACAGGTATGGACACTGCTGTCATGTGTTCAGAAATGGACTGTGAATGCTGATTTTTTTTTGTGTGCTTCAAAAGTTAGTTGTTGTGGTGCTGGGTGAAACTGATACACATATCAGTCGCATGTGTGCTGAAAGAAGAGTAGTAGACTGCTGATGTCCACGACAGCAGTGGTGTGGTGTTGATTGTGTTGTGGTGGCTGACATATCAATGATTCTAAATGCTTAAAAGTGAACCCCTAGACCTTGTGTGTAATCAGTTCTGCAGTATGAAGAACAAGTGTTCGATGAAATGACTGAGTAATTTCAGTAGTGGTGTGTTGGTGGTAGATGGTCCTGCAATGTGCAGTCCAAGTGTTTGATGTGTAGACTGAATGATTTCAGCTTTAGAGTGTAGTGTGTAAWGTGCAGTTGAAGAAAGTGGGTTGGTGGTATYRTAAGTGAGATAAGTCTTGTGACAAGTGTGAGATTGTGGTGTATATTCAAAGGAGAACTAATTGAGATGGCTTCAACTGTAGTTGGGAATGACAACAAAACAGGCATCATGCTTTCTTCTGATTATCTAAGTGTTCAAATGACATCTATCAAGTTGAATGGTGAGAACTATGTACCATGGGCAAAATCTGTG